CTGCTGTGTTCCCTGGGAGTCTTGCTCCCTGCAGTGCACTAAGTTCATGGCCAGCAAACTTCAAGGCTTCTTCATTCAGAAGAATAATGGGGGAATTCAGGCACTGGGGCTGGGTGAGAAGTATTTCTGGCCAAGAATGAGTTTCTCAAAGCCCAGTGGATAGGTGGTTATCTAGCTCAGAGATCTTAAAACCTTTTTGTTCTAAAAAAAGAGAATCTTAATAGAGTATTTCCATCATGCAATTTTTAAGTTAATAGTAAAGTTTTTCATCGTAAATTTAAATACTTTCAAAGGTTATAATTTGGAGTATATTGTAAATGCTTCTGTTTTAACATAAAAGTTTAATTTCTTTCATAAATGTATACAATAAAATCCAAACACCGTGCAATTGATAATCCATAATTTTATTTTTAAAAACAAACAATTCTTTAACTTGCAGAAATTTGACTTTTTCTTTCATGAACTTGAATTTTTATTCCAGTTCCCTCTAAGAATCTTATGTTAATAAATATTGATCACCCTATCACATTTATCTGCAATAAAAAAAAGTATCTAAATTTTAAAACTTTTATCTTCTGTGACCATAAAACTGTAAGCATTAAAGAAATCTGTGTGAATCAGCATTATTAGCAATTCACTACTAATTAAAACTACATGCATATATTAATTATTAAACACAAAAACTGAAATTATAATGAAAATGCACCTCAATGAGACGATGAATTTTTTCAGTTAGTTCTAGTATCCGTGGATGAACATTACTTATTGCTAAAATGAGACAGGGGTTGTCATCAATTCTATTTGTTTTGTTTGTTTGTTTTTAAGCTGTGAACTGTAGGAATTGAAAGTGTTTTATTATAGCAATGTAATTCAACTCTTTGATCTCCTTCCATGTTATATGCCAAAATTCATATAATGATCTATTATCAAAAAATATTTCTAATCTCCTGTCACCTGACAACTTGATTAGGTCCTTCTGCAGTTTTCTTATAAGCAACGAATTGGAAAGCACCCTGACTTGCAAAGAGATTTCGTCTCCTCATTAGAATCTAATTCACTTTCTCAATTTCTGGGAAGAAAGATCTTTGCTACGATTTACCAAATGATTGTTAATTATGCTGTAACGCTTTCACCTAGACCCACCTTTTTAAATCCCATGTCTTCAGAAATGAAAGGAAAACCAGATATATTACTAATTTCATTATACTTTTGCCAAAATAATGCTTTTGGATAAAATATTTTGATATTATTTCTTCCCTTAACCATATTACTGTTACCTTGGAGTTGCAGATTCAGCCCATTTACGGAACATGTCCATCACAAACCTCATTGGCAGAGCCAGTCTTCACTGTTAAACCAATTAGTCAAATCAGATTCACTTTCTGTGAGAAAAAAAAACTTTGACTTCATTTTTCAATTCAAATAGCTATTTTCAGGATTATTATAAAAATCAATGAGAATTAAAAAGCATATCTTGTGAAAGTGATCACTAAAACCAATCAGAATGAAAATGATATAGAGCTAATATAATTTACTGCATGTTTAAATAAGTTATAAAAACAAAATGATCCATACACTTTCTCAATCCAGTAAGAAGAATGATGAAAGGCATGATGTATCTCTAGTAAAACTGTGTGAGGTTACTGAATGCTGCTGACTGACTTTGGAGAATAAGTAAGAACTAGTGTAAAAATCAGAAACACCACAAATAATAGAAAGGTTCTAGGCTGCTAATCAGTCTAGCAGCACGTAATATATTTTGTTGTTGTTATGAAAAAGATATTAAACATTTTATAAGACAGAATATGATGAGAATTGACTATAATTGAAACAAATATTTCATGCTATGCTTTGATACCACAGGTTTTTGATAATTTTATTAACTAATGCACATCAAGTCTGAAAGAATCCATATGAAAATTTCTTATTCTTGAGTTTTATCCATTTTATTGTGTAAAAATTGAGTGTTTTCAAAAGGCATCCTAACTGCATTGAAAATAATCAGCATTGCAAACCTATACTGCTTTAGCTCTTCTAAGTTACTTTCCTCCCAGGTAAGAAATATCCTAGGGATAAGTATGGAGAATAGTGGAAAACAATTGCTTACAGTTACATGAACAAGCCATTTTGGGTAGCTGATGTCTCCTACTGATTTTCTCTTTGCTTCACTCTCTCAGGACTCTCCCTCAAGTGCAAGGCATTCGTTGACAAGAGTCAGGAGGAGAAAGAGGAAAAAGCATTAAATAAAAATTGTCATTATTTCCATCACTCCACTTTACCAGTATTATCTGAGTTCTGAAAATCCAAATGAGTCCAAACACCTCACTTCTGTGTTTTCTAATCTATCAGTTTGTGTGTATAAGAAGGGAAAGCCCAAAGCACTATGGATTTATGATTAATCATTAAAGGAAACTTTCTCTTTGTTTGCCACATCTGGGGTTTTTGTGTCATATTAAGGCAATTTGTTATATTAAGAGTTGGGATGTATGAGACCTGTATCTTTTTTTATATAATGTGGGGAGAGGACTATTGTGAATACAGACTCATTCTCAGCAGAACAATCTTAGGAACACGTCTAGTTTGCATAGAGGATCTAGAAATGAGTTCCTTAAAACTATCCATGAGCATGTATGTACTCCCTGGAAAGACTTCACATACTCTGAGTTACACATACCCCGGCTTGAAAGCCATGCATTTATCAGACCCGTATGTAGCCTAACCTAACCCAGTCCAAGATGTTATAGCCTCAGTCACTGGAGGAGTAACTGAAAAGTTGAAAAGAGGGCCCAGAGGTGCAGAGGGAACTGCAGCAGCCCCTGTTTGGGGACCAGTAATGAGGAGCCTCTGTTTCCAGTCTGGTGTTCACAGACACGCATGTGCTCCACCTATCAAACAGAAATTAGAAGATCCCCTGGCTCTTTGTTGGTGCAAATAAGCACATCACCATCTTCTGAAACTACAAGTTTCATGTTGCAAACTCACAGGCCAACAGAGGGAGGCAGGTGATGTAAACGAACAAAGCAGACGGGGTCTGAGATTAGCGGTGTGAGACTGGATAATGGAGGGGCCAGGCCTCACCAGAGACGGAGGCTGCTACTCAGCTTCCATTTTTCAAGGGAAGCCCAAAACCTGAATTTTCATGTGAAATCTTCCAATTTGTAAATGTTGGCAATTAAATCAACATTTTTATAAAACACATTGCAGGCCAAACAGAACAAGTCTACAGGTCATATCTGGTCCGCGGTTGTTAGTTACCAATCTCTGTCCGCCCAAAGGCAACTGGGTGATATTTTTACCTCTAGAGAGAGAACAAAGCAGTCTTTAACTAAAGTTTGGGTCTCCCGCTCTGACTCCAGCTACTGCTCCAGTTTCTTAGCTCCAGCTCCGCTTCAGCAGTTTATTAACCCTGAACAAGTCGTAGCTGATTCACACGTGGGTCCTGCAAGTTTAGAGTGAAGTGCGTGGTCAATTATCTAGTATTTCAAGCTTCATGGGGACGGAGGGAGTTGTCATCATCAAACCCAAGCCATTTAGTTGGATGGACTTTTAAACATCATTTATTTCAGCTTCCCTGTTTTTACAGCTTCCCTTAACATTTTCTAAATATTGCTTTCAGGGCTGATAGCACTTGGATTAGTAAATAGTATTATAGTTCCTGGATGCTCTCCTCATTTGCCTTCAGTCTCTGGAGCTCCAAGGACTGTAAAAACTTCTTCAGTCAAAGAAATAGCTATAGGTCTGCTCTCAGCCATTCTCAGTTCCAGCCCCTGGCCTACAATTACCCTGAGGCTTTAACTTCAGATGGTGTGCTGGTTTTCCAATGTGTCCACAAATTCTTTGATACTCCTCCCTTCAGGAGGTAGAGCTTAATTCCCTCCCTGTGAATGTGAGCTATACTTAGTGACTTGCTTCTAACGAATAGAATATGATGGATGATAGTGATTCTGAGAATAGGTCACAGGCATTATGGCTTGCTCCCAGCTCTCTCTTGAATTACTCACTGCGGGGGAAGCCAGAGGTCATAAGGACACTTAAGTGGCCCTGTGGAGAAGCCCACGCATGGGGGAACTGAGTTCTCCTGCCAAGAGCCATGTGAGCAAGCCATACTGGGAGCAGATTCTCCAGCCCTGTTTAAGCCTTCAGATGACTGCAGCCTGCTCACCTCTTGACTGCAAACCCAGGACAGATCCTGTGCCATAAACACCAGCTCAACTGCTCCTGAATTCCTGACCAATGGAATCTGTGAGACAAGCAAATTTTGTTGTTCCAAGATGTCAAGTATGGTTGTAACTTGCTATGTGGCAATAGATTAACACAGAGGGCCATAAAGCAACCCAGCCTACCGTCCTCCTGGCCTGGCCTCATCACCTTTCCTGTTCCAGTTTAACCAGGGCAAGAAGACCAGATGTAACTCCTCCCAGCTGTGATGTTAGCTTATCATTTGCTAGATTCCAGGTAGCTGGCTATATATGAATTCATGATTTAAAATCCTATCTCAAATTTTTATCCACTTACAAGTGGATAAAGCCTTTTGTCTTATACATTTGTACACTTTTGTGCGTGTGTGTAAATATTCCATGAAGCAGCAAGGTCAGTTATCTTTTGAGATGGGTAAAGGATACCACAGAGTAGGTCTTTATGGCAAGGGGTAAAAAAGAATGTTTTGAGGTGTGTGGGAGTGCCCTGAAAGAGAAAAAATATAGAAATAAAAGGGTCTCGGTTTAATTCTCCTTTGTACCCAGAGGCAGCTCTGCAAATACCATCCTAACGAGCCACTGCCTAGCCCCTAATCTCATAAAACCCTCAGAAGGGAAAAATGCATGAAAGGCAGAGCCGATTCTCTCTCTTTTGATATTTGTCCTTGGGTCTACTTTTGGGGCTCTGAGAGCACATGAATTAACATGAACAAGTGAAAGCATTCAAAAGTAGGCCTTTCCAATGACGAGCCAAGCCAGTTACCATACAGCTTGCATATTTATTGAATACTACTAAAATAGCTAAAATACATTGGGTACTTGTTGTGAGTGCATCAGTAAAGATCACATTGCTACAAAAGCCTGCATATTCAGCAGTACACAACTGCAACTCTACGGAAATGCCACAGATGCAGAATACTGTTTTCTTGCTCTATTTACACAGCGGATATACCTATTCTAACAAAGGAGGGAAGGGGGAAATGCACAGGAAACTCAGGCCAATGGGGGAGCGAGAAGAGAACGAAGAAGTGCAGCGCATGCGTCGGTTGATGTGTAACAGTCAGAAGCGGGACAGTCCAGAACAAAGCCTGCCCTGTCAAAGGAAGAGCTAAAAGACAGTTATATAAAAATTAAGGTGGGCTTTCAGACTGGCTAACACAACAACATTCCATGAGTGGATGGTATTGTCTGATTGTATTTTTGTTTATCCATTTCATTGGGAGCAAGGACAAAAATGTAAAATCTACACCTTGCTTATCAGAACTGCCGAAAAAGAGTGCTCTGCCTTTGAAAAAAAAAAAAATTGTAAAAACATTTCTTTTCCAACCTAATTTTTGGGAAAGGTCTAATTTTCATGTTCCTACTGAAATGTCAGTTTTTTAGATTTTTTTCAGAGGGCATTTGTTAAAAAAAAAAGTTTGCCCTTTCTTCCCCCAATATTCTTTCAAATGAAAAGAACCAAAAGGGACACCTAAAAATGCCTGTCAGATTATTGCTTTTCGTTCTCTAAGTGAGGCAGGCGAGGCTATGGAAAGGAAGAGATTTGGTAAGGAAATTACAGTTTTGTGATTGCTCCCGCTACAGTGACTGCGTGTCCAGGAGTGCCAGCCCATGAGACATGGGTCCCTCCGGCTTTGTGGTGGCACTCACTCAACCTACAACGCTGAAGAAGAAAGCCACACTGAAGACACAAGGAGAACAAGTCAATCCAGTCTAGAGAACAACATTCGGGGAAACAGAGTACCAACACCTTCTTAGAACATGAAAATAAAAAATAACTCCATCAGAGCTACCTTGCCAAGGAGCATGTTGAAAGTCCAAAATAGCACCATTCATCAGTGTCTCAGGTCCTGTGGCAGCATCTCGGTCACTTACCACAAGGAAACAATGAGTTTCAAACTACTTCTATACATCGAAAGAGTACATGGATAAAATATAGAGATATACAGACAATTGATGAACATAAACTACTAGGCTTGTTACATCTAAATGAAAAAAAAAAAAAAAAAGGGGACTCTCAGCCTCTGCAAGAAGCAGTCGGGAGCTGTGTGAGTGAAAAGGCAGAAGTGGACCGGTTGTGTGAGAGCAGAGGGGGTTTGAGTTGTGGAAGACATCGTCGTAGCAAACCAGGCCTGAAGGCCCACCTGTAAGGGTTGTAAACGTGGATTCACAGTGTGAAATTCTGAGCGTTTTCACTTGAGTCAGAATGATTAAAAACTGGTTTGATGATACCTATTTGTCCACTGTAAATTCTCTAAAGCAAGGCTCAGAGTCCCATAGTTTCTTCTTATACTTGATGATTTACACAGAAAAAAATCCCATATATGATACCATGACCTCATCAATACCCATACACCATGTGTAATACAAATGGAGGTGATTAAAAAGAGAGGAGGTAACTGATTCCCAGGGAGTGGAGCTCACTGCTGCCAAGTGGATGCAGGGAGGCAGCCTCGGTCTGGCCATCCTTCTTGCGACTCACTTCCTTTGGGACAGGAAGTCTTCCCTGAAGAGCACACAGACAGACACACACAGAAAAGAGACACACTGAGTCACGCTCCTAAAACCATTTGAAAACTTTTGCTTCCCTCTCCCGTCTTTTATCCCTGAACTCCTGGTGTTTTGCAGAGTTTACATATTAAACACAGTTCACCTGAATGTAAATATTAGGTCTGTCAGGGCATGAAGTAATTAAACACTAGCCGCCGTGGCTGCAGTGGCATCAAGCGCGTCCCTAATGGCTGGGCCCAGCCATGTAGGAGACAGCATTCCCCAGAATCAGGTTCCTGAAGACAGTTTCCAGGATCCGATAGGACCCCCGACAAAAGACTGGGTGAGAGGTGTTCCTAGGAGTGCTAACACTTTTTTTGAAAAGAGTTCAGTGGCCGTGGTGGGGATACTTGTTTTCTAATACATAATAAAAATATTTAAAGCATGCCACAACTGTACAAATGTAATTTATGTACAGTTTATTCTAGAAGCAACTGGGACAGTCCCTATGGGCCTTACAGTAAGAACCAGAAGTGGGCACCAAAGGCAGGGGAGTGTTTGGGAGGGAAATCATGTGGGCTGGGGGTGGGAAGGTGGCGGCTGCAGAAAAGAGGAGACTAGTGGGAAACCAAGGCCAGAAGAGAGATTCAGCTAGATTGGACTGACTGGGGCTTTTCTAGTCTCTCCTCACGATCCTGACGAGTGAGGGTTTCGTGTTTCTGACTAGGAGAATCCAAACGCACTGTGACTGATGATCCTCTGAGTACCCACGGGGAGAAGTTCCCCATCACAACCAAACAGCAAGAGGACAGGACAATGAAGCCCATTTGCCCAAACGATGATGCAAAATAAAGGTCTTATCACAACTAGACTTTATGCCTCATTCAGAAATGAATACAGTGAACATTTGACAAGAGTCTCTTTTAGCCTAACACTTAATTACTGGAGTTGTCTTAAAAAAATTATCCACTATGGTTTTAAAAGATCTGGTTTTTTTTCTTTTCCTTTTTGTTCAGGTCACATGTTCTAACAGGATAGTTATAATAAGCCAATTTGACTGGATATAAGTACTTGGGTTAAAGTGATAATCTTGCTTTGTGATCTGCAAATTACTTTATTCAAATTTGTTAAATTCAGAAGTCAGGGACTTCCAAGCAACTTGAAACCAAGTAAATGTTTTCAGCAGCTGCCAGAGTGAACTAAATGTAACAGATAATTCAACTTTAAGAAGTCTTATTTACTGTATAGGTTTCCCATATTAAACATCTGTTATACCTAAATAGTTTTTAAAAATCTCGGACTTTGAGAGCATGTAACATTTTTAGAATGTATATGAAATCCACTCAGTATGTACTTTAATGCTCCAGTCTTAGTTTGTGATTTAGAGGTTGTTTTGGTATCATTAAATACCAACAGGACCAAACCAGAAAATTAAATTAAAATATAATTCATCATTTACACACACTTAAGGATCTAGATAAATATCCAAAAGCAACTGTATTGGGCAGTTCCCTTCACTTGTGAAAATAATTTCAATCTTGAAATTTTGGCATGCAATCCCACTACTTAAAAAATGAAATCCACTGTAATCCTGATGTCTTTAATGTCTGTTTCTCCTCCCCTATCAACCAGTTAGCACCATGGTTCAGGATATGACAAGCTTAAGTTTTGGACAAATGAAGAATTCAATGGCTGTTGACTGTCATAGGCCTAGAAAGGGAAATCAAAAGTTCATAACACATTTCACTCAACAGCTATACTCTTTGCATGGCTGGCCTTAACACTGCCTCCTTCAGACTTACTGTGAAATGAATATATAGAACATCAGCTGGCCCTTATATAAGTCTCAGTTTTACTAATCTCTTATCTCCCCCATAAAAAAACATACAACAAAATGAAATAAAGAGCTGGGTGGGATCTGGGTAATTGGGAAAGAAGTCCTTTCAGGAAAAAAAATGTGAAGGAGATTATTTCAGATTTGAATTTATCATGTTTACTATTTTTTTCTCTTTCAAGGACCCAAAATGTTCATGCATGTCTTCCCTTCATTACTCATGTTTTGTGTGCCTACTATATGGATTGAGCACTCTATTGGATTTTAAGTCAACGGAGACAAAAGCAGTCCCTGCAGCCTGCCCTTAATTAACTTGCTGTATGGGAGACACCTAAATAACTGGAGGATAACAAGGCAGTGATGGTAAACCATGCAGGCAGTTCTGCTATGAGGCATCCTGGGGAGCTCCTGGGGAGATAAAGTTCTGTGCATACTCCCTTTGGAGGCTGGAATTTACTAGATTTCAGTCCCTACCTCCTGTCCTTCATTAACAACAACAAAAAAAAGATATTTCTGCCCCCATTAAAGGAATTTTAAGCTTCTGCAGCAAGGGGAGGAGGTATTTTGAAGAGGAGACACAAAGATGTCTTACTCCCCACAAGTAAGGCCTTGCAAGAATTCATACACACAGTGTCATATCTTCCTCTATCATCCACCATATAATGGTCCCTACAGGACTAAGGAACTTGAGTAATTCAGAAGGCTGGAGGAGGGGATGTGCTCCTAGACGTCCCTTCGCTGATGTGCCTCAGGTAGGATGGCCCGCTCTGCTGATGACTGTTAGTACATGAATCCCCCAGTTACTCAATAATGTGCTTTGGGCCAAGTAAGCCAAGATTGTTTCTCATATGATTATGCAAAGACGTGCTTTTCCAGAAGGCAACAGCTAGAAAAAGAACAAATATATTATGCTTGAAATACTATTCATATATTTAGAGAGGAAAGAACTCAAAATAACAGAAGACCTGAATTCCAGGATCCACTATGCCAGCCCCCTGGAGCATACCTCAGTGCAGGGAAGGCCTAGGACACAGACTGGCCTTCCAAGAGGAAAGGGAGGCACCGATGACCTCACTGAGGAACTTGCCCAGTCTTGCCCCTCTGGTTGATGCCACCAGTATCAAAGAGAGGACCTCTGGATGCCTCAATGGGGCAGGAACTAATGAAAAGACTATACTCTCCCCCTTCTCTTCCATAATCACATCTTCCCCTCAGCTACTCAGGGGAATTATGCCTTGAGGTGGCCCAGTAAAGAATGTCTAGACTATACAGCGCCCCCGGTGGTGTGGTTCTGCTGAGGAGGTGGGGTGCGGGTGTGTTTTAAGTAAAGCTCCAGTATTTTAGCGCAGCTCCACTCCAACTCTACAAGATCAGAAGAACTCTAGGTCAGGCAGGGCCCAAATCATTTGGTTCACCTACTTTGCTGCCAATGATTTCGACCTTGACCTTCAGAAATCCTCTGAAAGATTAAAAGTGATTTAGAATTGTTTTCTTCCAGTGCAAACTGCCAGTAGACATAATCTCTTTAACTAATGTCTGCCTGTTAATAAGAGATAGGAAATTGCTGAAACCATTAAGGGTAAGTAAGACAGTTTCCCAAAGTTGAAATGACAGTAGTAGCTGGGGAGTCCTCTCCATTGGTCAATTACACTTAAGAAATTTTTAAATGGAAATTTTATTTTCAATGGACTCTATTTTTTTTTTTTTTAATTGCAAAATCAATAGGTAAGTGGTAAAAAGTACAGTCCTCCTTGCTTAAGGTCAAATTGATATTTACCCTAACGGGAAAGTCCAAAGGTATCTACAGTAAAAACGGGTAAATGTTGTTGTTGTTGTTGTTGCTGTTTTGAAATGCTGCTAAAATCTAAAATGTAAATTTTACAAATTTTCTTAAGGCAGAGACTGGTCACGTCTTAAGATGTCTGAACAATGAAAGCATGTTTATAGAAAATATTTTTAGGCTAAAAATTAGAAGAAAAAATATAACATCTTTTTTATATTCTTTCTGTTTTGTTTCATGGGTAATCTTATCAGATAGTCAGGTATTATTACCAGACAAAACTGTCACCATCTTCTACTCTTAAGATATCTTTTAGTTAGATATCTTGACATTTGAGTTTATCCACCCAGGAATGGAACGAACAAATTAAAAACCTGTAAAAGGTACATTTGACAAATTGGTTCCATGATTCTTAAATGAAAATTTGCTTTGGACTTTGAACTTGTCAAGAAAGAAAGATAGTATGAACTGTAAGAGTCACAGGACTTTAGGATATTCTTTTTCTTTTTGTAGTATATGTTATTTCCAAGGTCATAATAGTATCAGGTTAATGGATTATTATAGTAGACAGTAATGAGTATTAAAATGAGAAATAATTGGGTTTTGAAATTGTTTCTAAATGGAAAAAAAACAAAAACCAAAACCCAAAAAACCTTAACAAAATGTCAGCCAGAGATCTTACCTTAGGAAGCCTTCCCTCCATTTCCTTGTTTGGAAATGGTTCTTGACTGACCCAGACAGAAAGCTCTGGGTAATACACCTAGAGAGACATAAAAGTACACACATTCAGATTAAAAACTGCATCCACTCTGAAACCACTTGGGAACAGCTTAATGAGCTCAGTTCTCCTCAATGGTCACTTATTTGCCAGTTGCAACTTAGAGTGCTGGGGAAGCCCGTCCGCTCTTCAGACTGTCCGTGTGCTTCTGAATGTACACTGCACTCAGGAGAGTTTTAGCTCAATGTCTTCCAAGACCAAGTCCAGCAGAGCAGAGATATCAATCAGTGCTATCTTTTAGCATGCAAAGTGGTAGCTTCGTGGCTTACGGCCTGAGCAAACTAAGGCACTGGGGAGGCCTAATTTTCAAAGCAACCTGTGATAAGTATCCTTGCAAAACTCCATGTTTATGAGATAAATGTGTCATGTACCCACCAAACACTGTTAAATCCTGATTCATTTATTAGAAGGCTCAATTATGCACAAAACATATGGAGGAAAGGAAGAAGCAGCCTGCATCCTCCCCAGGTCCACACGTTCGCTGACAACACACTCTGCCCAGCTGCCTGAAAGTAGCCAAGTGTCTCAGAGAGGGGCAGGGCAGGGGACTGGTGGCATCGCCAAGAGTGATTCAGAGAATGCTAGCTGTTGCATATGGGGGTGGGGCAGGGGTGGGACGAGGTGGAGAGAGTGAGTCCCACTGAGCAACTCTTCTTTCGATATTAAAAAGGGTTGGGGCTTCCCTGGTGGCGCAGTGGTTAAGAGTCCGCCTGCCAATGCAGGGGATACGGGTTCGTGCCCCGGTCCGGGAAGATCCCACATGCCGCGGAGCGGCTGGGCCCGTGAGCCATGGCCGCTGAGCCTGCGCGTCCGGAGCCTGTGCTCTGCAACGGGAGAGGCCACAACAGTGAGAGGCCCGCGTACAGCAAAAAAAAAAAAAAAAAAAAAAAGGGTTATGACCATCCTAAGAAGGTTGCTGACCAGCTGTTCTCCATCTCTGGTAAAGGCAGGAGTAGGGGATAAGGACTTAAATTACAACTACAGATTTAGGTCAGCTGTAAGGAAGAACTTGGCATAAGAATTGTTAAATTACTAAAAGAATTTAGAGAGGAAAACTGTGAAATCTTCTTTAAGAAATTTAGAAACCGAATCCAACAACCATCTGTCAGGGCTAATTTACATTTGATATAGCCCTGCTTGAAGGGAGGGGAGAAAATTAGGTAAGATTCCCTCCAGATCTGATTCTCTAGATGCTGTAAATGAGCTCCACATTTAATAAATGATATTAAGAATTACATCTCATTAATTGGTTAACAGACTTGTATGTCTTTTTTTGTTTATTTTTGAAAGTACTAGATGTGGTAGCCTAATCATCGGGCTGACTGCAATGTTTTCGATGTCCCCATCAGTCACTTTGGTCAGGGGGTCTGAGGCACAAAATGTGACGGCTGTGCCGGTTTTGTGGGAGAGTCTAACAGAAACTATCTTTGCTCAACCCCAGGGACATTTATGGCACATCCTACTGTACAAAGCAATCTTACATGGATTACCTAGTTTATCCTGAAGGTAGGTTGTGAATAGGTCTTATCATTACAGAGAAGAGGAAACTGAAACTCAGAAAGGTCACATGACTTGCCCAAAGTCACACAGTATAGGATAGGACTCAAACTCAAGCCAGGCTCCCAGGTTCTGAAGCTGGGTTCTTTCCGCCATCCTGATGCCCTCCAATTATCCCAGAATGCAAATTGCCTACCACCTCTCTTTCAAAATTACACCAGTCCACAGCCACCACACACATTTAGGTCTTAAATATTTGAGAGCTCATGCTGCAAGAACTGGGCCTGTTTTCTTACTTTGGACTGGGTCTGCTTTCTGGGCCATGCGGTTCCCCCAACCCCAAACTCCTGCCTCTTGCTCAGCTTTCCCTGCTCTGCTCAGCTCCTTCTAGGAGAACGCCACCATCTGCCTTGTTTGGGACAAACAGCCACCACTGACATTCCCCTGAACCAGGAATGGGTGAAAAAAACAAAACTGCAGTCTTAGATACACCAGCATGTTTAAGGCTTAAAAGAAAGTCACAGCACACGGAATCCCACTTTGGGAAATTATAGGAGATCTCAAATTGGGACCTACTGTAAATTCACTTAAATAAATAGAAAAAACACGATGACATCTCTACATTACTGCTTTTCAAGGCATGCTTTAAGTATAATTAAAAACATGACACGTATTAGCAAGAAATAATATTCTACTGTAAACAAAAAACATTGATAGAAATACATGTAGAAACATAGTAGGCACATGGATGCAATGAAAAGCAAAATCAAGTAAATGCTGTATCTGTTTTCTTATGCTTTTTTATGATATTCTACTTTAACAAAATGACACTACATTAGCATTTAACTTCTAGGTCCAAAACATGAATACTGAAGCCACCCAAGTCTGATCTGTAG